TGTTGTCGCCCTGTTGATGACGTCAGCGACGCGGTTTAATTGGGCGCGCTTTAGTCGAGCGTGGTTTTGTCGTGCCACGGTTGATTAGAACTCTCCCTTGGACTCTGCTGCCTGAAGCTGACCAGATCTTAATTAATTTCACACTGAAGTCTTTCATTATCATAAATGCATGCTATTGGTTGGAAAGTGAAATCTTTATTACCATTTGTTACTGTCATTTATGAATAGTCACTATCCAAGGCAGTTGCTAAATGAGGACATCCTGTACCTTGATTTTTGTTTTAAAAACTATGGAACTACAATCTTTTGTTTATTTTTAAAACGAATCATGTGGTGTAGATACACTGTATTGAAGTAGATACACTGTATAGAATTTTCTGCTTTTCTTCCTTTTTTTCCATTGCATCAAGTCTAAAATTTTAACTGCATGCAAAAACAATATTTTTTAATCTGTAAGCCGCTTGAGTGCCTTGTTCTAAAAGCAAACCAGGGTATAAACATTTTAAATGCAAACAAACAAACAACAGATTCTCTGCATGTTTGATCTTAAAGAGAAAGAAGCCAACTTTATTCTTGACATTAAAAAGCCTTGTTTGCTGTTCAGGTTTACTATCTGGGGCAAAAAGGTTCCCCTTTCTATTTCTCTTGGCAAAGAGGACAACTTTTCAAAAATCTCCGAGCTGAAGATGTTTGAGAGTGAAGAACTGGAAGATATCGTGATTGTCTCTGAAGGGATAATGGAGGAATACTTAGCATTTGACCGCAGAGATGTGTAGGTATTGAATACATTTCACAACAACATATTTAGTGCCTTTATAACAGGGGTGTGTGTGTGTGTCAAACTTGATTTCATGGAGGGCCACATCAGGATTGTGTTTAACCTCAGGGAGCCAAAGTCGGCATGGCCGGCTTGACGTCACTTGTGTGGGAGATGCCTGTGGTGGCCCGAGTGGTCTGCCAGCAAAAATAAGCACCTGAGTTCCGTTTTTGCCTGCGACAGCCTCCTGCAACCGTCTGCCAGCGAAAACAGAGCTCGCACGGGCTGCCTGCAGCCCTCCCAAGCTCTGTTTTCACTGGCAGAGGCACTGCGGGCTGGTCCTTCACTGCTTCCAGGGTGGCCCCACGGGCCAAATCTAAATACCCCGTGGGCCGGATCCGTCCCCCGGGCCTTGAGTTTGATACCCCTGCTGTCAGCCTCTGCTTTGCTGTTGCTTCGGCTGCCATGAAACGGGGAGGGAGGGCATGGTATTTGGGAGGGG